GGGCAAGAAAGAAAATAATGACTCTAGAAGACAGGTAGTGCCTCCCCACAGACCGGGTGTTGGCCCTGGACGGAGATGCATGAGGGTGCAGGAGGTTTCCCGTGGCTGTCCACGGGGTGGGAACGGGACAGTGTTTCTGGAGAGCACGACAAGGGCCGGCCTTGCTGTGGGTGTAGCATAAAGTGCTACTGGATTAATGGGCAGAGGGGTTTTCCAGGAGTCCGATTTCCCCTTCCCATCCAGTTCCCCACCGGAGAGGGAAGATAAAGTCAGCAGGGTCCAGAGAATAGGGCGGATTTGGCTGACAGAGTTGTGACCCAGGCTGACAAAGCTCGTGACCTTTAAGGAGGCCCACAGCATGGAAGGCATCACGTCCAGGGAACAAGAGGAAGGGCAGGATAGCTCAGGAGCTCTGGACGAGGTTCAAAACTTACTCCGGGAAGATGTATAAAGAGTCTTCAAAATGCTCGTTTCAGAAATGCGTCCAAAGCCAGTATTAAGACAGTTATAGAAAGATTTCTATAAAATTATATGAAGATATCTATAAGTGACATTGTTTGCAAAAGTGTAATTTATATTAACAAAAATTAAAAATCATCTAAATATTCAAAATTAGGAATCAATTCAAAGAGGTTATGGCACATCTACACTATGCAAGCATTTAAAATATATTAAAGGATATTTAATTATATGAAGAATAGATTGTCATATATAAATGAAACTTCAGAACACAAAATAATAAACACGATCACAAAGATATAAAAGGAAACAGAGTTCTACGCTTAAGAAAAACTTAGAAAGAAATACCACAAAAGTATGTGGATGATTGGGGTGGTAGAATTACATGTGATTTGAATTTTGTTTTTGTATATATGTATTTACTAGAATTTCAACCATAAGTCTGTATTACTGTAAGTTCAAAATGTTAAGTTTTTTCACTTTTACTATGAATATTGCTGGGGCTTTAGTTAGAGACTCGCTCTACTTGGATGGCTGTGGGGTTCTAAAACAGAGCCACAGACTTAAAGAAGTGGTTGGTATCTGTTGCCTGGATACTTCATGGGATCCAAATAGTCAAGGTGTTTTCAGGCCTCTGCATTTATGAAAGGCATCTCAGGGCATGAGAGTGAGCCTGCATCAGGAGTCAAGAGATCCAGCTGGTTGTCCCAGATGAGCTGCCTACCCACTCCACAAACTTGAGCAAAACACTTCACCTCAGATTCCTCATTTAAAATGGGAACAACAGAGCATGCCTTGACAATCCCACAGTAGCATGGGATTGTAAAAAAGCATGCTCAAGCGGGAGTTGCCATCCCAATGGAGATGTAATATATAGCATCCGAGACCTTGATCCAATGAACAACCTCAGAGCCCACCCTTGGTAAGGTCTGCCCATCCATGTATACATATTCCCTCTGTCGGTCACCCACTGGGAACAAATGTTCACAGTTGCAACCTTCGAGACACATTTAGCTCCTGGAAAACCTTCTGGATCATCATCCAAGTAATACTAACTCAAGAGTGGAATCGTTGGGAATGTATAAGCACCTTTGTCCACCAGGGTGACTTTCAGTGAGTCAGGATGTCTTAATTAGCTGAAGTATCCCATCCATCACAGACTTAACTGGATTCACATGAGAGTCACTGGTGGCAGGTGGTGGAGCATATTGGTTACTTTGAAGACATTACCCGTATTCAACTGCTAACACACATTTGTACAGAACCAGGAGCTTCATCTTCCTATGAAAGCTCCTGTGTAACTCTCAACTGTCTAGTAAATACTCTTTGTGTCTTCACAATTATTCTGCACTATACATAGATATTGTCAAGCCCTAAAGAATACCCAGCAGGTTCCCTGTCCACTTTTATCCCCAGGAAGTCATGCTTCTGAAGCATCTCCAATAATTAATTTACTGACAACCCACCATCACTCCCACCACTGGGCATGCACATAGCTAGGCTGGAACATGGACAAGTACTTTTGATTGGTCTTTTCTACTTTATACAATTGTCTTGCTCACAAACTCCCATGTGTGAGTGGTTTACACTATCTCAACAGAAGCATCAAGCCATAAAACCATCACTGGATAAAAAGTCAAGACCTCAGTGCCATGACATTGGAAAAAAATGGCTTAACTGCTCTGACCTCAGCTTCCTCATTTATAAAAGGAGAAGGTTGGACTTCCTTAACTTGCCTTACCTTTCTTCAAATTCAAACTCTATACATTTTCACTGAGCAGGATAAAAAAAAAATCTTCAGAGCTCGGAGTAAGAGAAAGGGAGTGTCAACCCCGTGCAGTGACCGTGCCAGGTGCTTCATGCATATGACAACAGACAATGTTCTCAACAACCCCCCTTGACAACATTCCCATTTTACAGGTTAGGAAAGCGAGGCTAAAAGCAATAACGTCCAAAGTTACTGCTGGGAAGTGGCAGAACTGGAACAGGAACTCGAGCACGACAAGTATATCACACTGAACCCATTAAAGACTGGAGGTCAAGGGCATGATCCCAATGCCTTGTTCCACGGTGTGGTCAGTAGCCACTGCTCTGCTTGTGAGCACACCATTCAGGCTGCTCTCTTTACCTGGTGAAGGAGTTTTGGAAGGTTCCCAAGCTTGGAAATGACAATAACAGGACACCAAGAAAAAGATACCAGTCACACATGTCACATGCCCTTTCCTCCCCTCAAATGTAGTGCTTAGTATTTCCCTCACTGTTTCCAGCCCGTGTGGTACTCGATGCCCGTGTGGTCCTGAGCCCCAGAGATGCCCGACTCTGGGCCACCCCAGGGTGGGGGATAGGGCTTGCCTGCACCAGCTTGCAGAGGAGGACAAAGAAGAATTACTGGGCATGCTCCAGCAGAGGCACAGGGTGGGGGGCGGGGCCGGAGGATGGAGGAGAGAGATGGCGTAATGATGTAGTCACTTTCCTGAAGCATAAATTGTGGGCCCATGAAAAATCCAATCACAATTTTCTTTCATCTCATTTGGAAAACAAAGGGATGCTTTTGCCTCAATCTACTGATGGAAATACACATATCAAGTAGGATTCCTGAACAGAGGGGCCTTAAGCCAGGGCTCCCTGTCTGGTGTTCATCGGCCCCTGGTTCGGGGACACAGCCCATCTTCAGGAAATGGTTCCTGGCTGCAGGGCAATGGCATGATCTCTCATCTCATCTGGGGTCCCCAAGAAGGAAAAACACATCCGAACATTCCAACACATTTCCATGGGCTCCACTCATTTGAGAATTTTCCCAAGGATCTCCATTAAAAGGGGAAACACCTTTGTTCCACCTATCTCCATCATTTGGGCCAAAAAGGGAACCAATGGGACTTTTTATTTTTCTCGGGGACTCAGTCCGTGGTCCCAAATTTCACTGAAGAATTAGGACAATTACCTGTCACTCTGTCTCTGACTTAGAGGTTTATTTTCCTGATGTTTTGTAGGCTGATGATTTTTTTAGAGGTCGTCCGGTTGTGTTATGGGTTGTTGTATTTGTGGACTAGAATTTCTCTGTCCACCTCTGAGCTCCCTGTTTAAACCTGGGCACACACTTAGTCTCCGGCCCTGGTTGTGGAGCCCAGGGAGACGGGGACACACCCAAGCTACGGCTGGGAGGCTGTGCTTTGGTTCCTGATTCTTTACACCTTTTCTAAGAGCATGCTTTCTTCTGAATGGGACATGCCCACCACAGTGTCAAACACTTTATGAGCATGGAACGGGGAAATGTGACCTTTAAAATTCTAAGGAAGAAAAGGCCAAGTCCCTACTTGTTTATTATTGTTGTAGTTGTGTAAGATAGCATGTCACTGAGTGACTGTGTCTGAGGAAAGCCAGCAAAAACCTCAACCAGGATCAAGACCTCCAATGAATTCAGATCCTCTTCATGTTTACAGTGCCTCTGAGTTGGTGTAATTTCCATGTACAAAGGTGATCTCCTAAATCCCCAAAAGTAACCTTGGGCTGGTGGTCTCGCATTACCTCACCAGTAAGTAGGAGGAGTTCCTGGCCATCTTAATAGATCAAATCCATGTCATCTGAGGTCAGTCGCGAAGATTCTTCACGAAGATTCTCCTTTTTATTGGCCAACTTTGAAGGACCTGGCTTCAAAATTATTAAAGGATGTGGAGACTTTTCAACTGAATCCCAGACCATGTGTTCTGTCCCTATTCTCTCCCCATTCCACCCACTCCCCAGCCTCCTAAATAGGTCCACAGGTGGAGAGAGTATTGGAGAATAAGAGATTCTTAGAGCTTAGAGGACACTTAATTGGTCTCTAGCCCTTGTTACTGGCCCACTCACAGCTATTTTCAAATTGCTCTTCGACCTCGTCCCACCTCTCCTGTGATTCTGTAGTTCACATCTCACGTCACATATTCACAGGTGATTCTTTCCTCCCATCTTGTCATATGAAGCTTGTTGTTCTAGACTGTTGGAGTTTGAGTTCTGACTCTATCAGTCAAGATCCTTAGTGTGTCTCCCTTCTCTGTGAAACACACAAACCTAAAAAGCAGGGGATCTCTACCTTCGCCCAAGCCACTGATTGAACTGTTGAACATCAAGTAGGGATTACGCTCTTCATGTCCTCTCCCACGGCTCATGTTAACCTGCTAATGAGCTCTTTTAGGGTAAATGGTTATTTGGGCAACTTAGAACCCATGTAACTATTTTATCATCCAGCACCCATGACCCCAACTGGTCTGAAAAAGACCCCAACTTATCCACAGAAGATCCCGTTGAAGGCCATACTGAAATCCAGACCCTCTGCTCATGAGGACATTATGAGACAACTCGTCTAATCACCATATTCCAAAAAACAGCCCTTAGCCTTAAGTTGTTACCATATCGACCAGGATGCAACAGACGCTGTTGTCTTAGCAAGTAAGTAGGAAATCTCCATGGCTTATCATGTACTTTAATCTTCACACATGTGAATCCAATATGGGTCAAACAGTTTTCCTCCATCTTGTTATTTTGCCACCTGAAACGGTGGTCTCTGAGGCTGCCATAGCAGAAAGGGGGCCGTTGGAGCGATGCCTGTTCTTGCCCCCACTCACCATTCATTAACAGCTCCAAACTGACTCCAAGGACACCTGTGTGAAGGGTTGGGGAGAAAATCACCTACCTGGGAGCACAAACCACTTCTGCCATAGCTGGGTAAGTTTCTGCATGTGATCCCATGATCATATTTTCCCTCTTGTGTGCTTGGAAACCTGATCATCCACTCAGGATTTCTAGAACCCTCCACACGGAAGTCTTTGGACAGATTTCATTAGTATCAACCACTAGAGTCATAAATACCAGTACAATAACCTAGATGTTCCGAAATACTGCTTAAGAAGTCCCTTTCATGTAGCTGGAAAAAAAAATCTAATCCTCTGGCCACTGCTGGATAAGAACTCCCAGTTCTGAACAGCATGCTTGACTAAGTCTGATTAATGAATTTCTGAAGTTATTTTTGTTGATCCTCCCACCCTTGACGCCATAATTTGCCTGTGGCAACATGTGTGTAGATTAATGAGGCTTTCAGCAGCCAGTGGAAACGTGTTCATTAACTTAATTATCCACACCTTCCAATTGAGGGCAACTCAGGGCTGTCAGGACACAGCAGAGCATCTGTGCTGAGGAAGAGCACCCGCTCCATGCTCCCCAACTAGGACAATCTTTCCTTGCAGAGGCAAGGAGAGGAACAGGGGAAATAAGTGGATGCACAGGCAACAAAATGACAAGATTCAGTGTAATTACCCAATGGCGTGCTGAATGTGCATGCATTCATTAAGCACCTAGTACGGGTAAACCTGAATAAGCAGGTACCTCCTATGCTTCTAGGCTGCTTTCTCCTCGTGCACAGGATAAGCCCCCAACTCAGGGACCAATCTCTGCTAAGTCAATGGGAATGGTATGTATGGATCTTTGTCAAGAAGGTCAAATGGTAAAGCACCAAGTCTATCTTACCCTGGACCTGGGTAATTTTATTGATCAGTTGTGGTCAACTCCCACCTTGGACGTAGGACTTAGGACACAGAGCCTTCCCAGTGTGCCTGGGCGCCATGCTTTGCCTCCGATGTCTCCCACTTAGCACCCCAAGGAGCTAGTCCGACTTCTGCACCCAAGCCCAAGGGGGAAGTTTCTCCTGCTTCTTCATGCTGCCTCTCTCCTGTGGAGGATCTCTGCCTGTTGCCTCTCCCAGTCTCTCCATTGCTATGCTCCACCAACTAAGACCCATTTTTTGCTTATCATCCCAGACGTGGAGCTTTCACCTTGGCCTTCTCCCCCCAGTGGCTTATAGAGTTCTCTGCTAGACACTGTGCAGGACAGAGATGGTCCTATGGGAGTTCCTGGCTCTTAGGAGGTAAGACTCATGCATGGAGCTGATCATTAGAGGGAAGAGAGTTTCAGCATCTTGTAAATCAGTCTTTCTCAAACTTGCTTGGTCCTAAGAGTGACCTTCTAAAGATACAACTTCCAAGATTCTACCCATGAAGATTCTAATACAGAAAATCTGAGGTGAGACCGAAACATTTTCCTAAGCACCCAGGAGATCCTTCTCATGAGGCAAGTTTGCAAAACACTAGTAAATGACTATATGACAGGAGTAGTGACTATTGATTAAACGTTCGGAAGCTAATCAAGGTACTAAGAAATTTACATATACTGGCTCATTTAATTACTGTGACAAACTTTTCCAGACAGGTGCTAACTTTCCATTCTGCTAACAAGAACACCCAGATCCGGATACATTGACTAATTGCTCAAAATCACACATTTAGTAAATGGCACAGTTAGGATTCAAAACTTCTCTGTGGTTCCTGACCTACATCAACGAAACTAACCTATTTCTAAAGGCTAAATGCTGGTGTAGACTAGCAGTCTCTGAGCTTTTTTTGATAGAGTGCCCTATCAACAACGAAATTTCAAGCATGGACATTCAGTGTATGTGCATATATTTTTAATTTATATATACATACTATTATTCTAATATACTATCTGTATTATAAAATACACATAAAATGGCTATTTAAAAGGTTGAAATCAAGATGAATTAAACAATTTTTAGTAATTTTTATTCTATTTTTTGCTTTCAAAAAATTATTGATACAATAAAAATGCTTTTAGTGAGACCAATGTGATTTCAAATAGGCTTTTCTAAGTTTTTTCAACCTTGGATTAATCTGTATGATGTAGTGATTAACAGTTTGGTCCTAAATTTGGTTTGTTCTGACACTTGCTTTAAGTGCCTGTTGTTGCTAGAAAAGATGCCTCTCAAAGATGCATAAATTCAAATGAAAGAAATGAGGCATTTTTACCTTACTCAGTCATAATGCTCCTTTTTCAATTCTATCTACCAATTATGCAAAGATTCTTGGTGAATTTGGCTAGTAAATTTCCAAGCTCCCTGATAACAATCCATTTTCCCCACAATTTATTGGAATTAAAAAATAAATAAATAAAACTCGTTCAACATCAAAAACATTTAGAAACTTAAAACAGTCTAGAATATTCTGTTTCAGTCTTTCCAGGAATAGAGATCTCCGTTATATATACCATTTTTAACAATGTTAACACTGGAAATGTTTCAAATCACCAGTGCTCAAACACGGCTTCAGGGGAAAGGTGTCATTTTTTTTTCTTTGTATTCAAGAGTAATATGCATACAGGAAAATGTACATATCACAAGTGTATAGATCAGTGTATTTTATTTAACTGAGCACACCCAATTAAAGACACAGAACAAGAAGCAGAACATTATCTTCAGCCTCATTATCAAAAACCCCTTTGTGCCTTTTCCAGTTATTTCCATCCTCCCAAAGGTAACAATTATCCTAGCTTTTTGGCCTGTTCCTTTTTTTTTTTTTTTTTAAACTTCATGTAAGTGGAATCATACAGGGGGCACCTTTTTGTGTGTCTGGCTCATTTTGCTCAAAATTTGATTTGTGAGATTCATCCATATCACTGAAGTTGTCATGGATCATTTATTCTCATTGCATAGAGTATTGTCTAGTGTGAATACACAACAGTGAGTTTATCCCTTTTGCTTTTGATGGGCATTTGAATAAATTCCAGCAAATATTAGCAACAGTGTTGCTATGTGCATTTCAATGCCTGTCTTTTGGACAACATGTCTGCATTTCTGTCAGGTATATCCCTAGAGTGGAATTGCTGGGTCACTGGGTTTGCTTATGTTCTGCTTTTTAGATATTGTCAAACAGCTGCCTGACCGGTTCCATAAATTGACCCTCCCACCACGTGGGAATTCTGGGTGCTCTTCATTCTCGCCTCCTCTTGGTATTGTCTGTCTTTTTTCATTTTAGCCATTTTGGTGCATGTATGATGGTATCTCATTGTGGTTTACCAGTTTCTTTGAAAGGCACTTACTGTCTCGTTATTAAGTTGTGACATTTACCCTTAGGGGACAACTTGAGTGCAGGTTCGTGTTTTTTTTCCCCAATGTATCTGCTATAGCTTATTCCTGACAGCCACTTGTCAACCTGGAAAAGATCGAATAATTTCAACCCTTGATTTTATTCACTCATTATTTCAAATAGTTGGCCAGAAGACAATAAGGGAATCCCTGTTTAAATAAAGTATTTTCAGGAGTACTCCCTATCTCATTACCAAGTATTATAAAGATTCTGCTATGTTGTAAACTTCTTGCCTCTGTATAATGATCCACATCGGTGAGATCCTACTGTGTTCTGTGCTTTTGTGTCTTTAACTTCCTGGCTTAAATAGCTTGCTATGGTCAATGTAGCAGATAAATTTCACATAAGGTGCAAGTTCATGAAATGTGTCTATTTTTTTTTTTTTCACTCCAGTCAACATAAATACCCAAAACGTTGCTGTTGTTAAGAAACTCATCTATTGTTGAGAATGTAATCTTTTCTGGTACATCTTTCCTTTGAGAGCTCACAAGAAAGGGCCCTTCAATGTATTTCATTATTGAAATGAACGATCTAGAAACAGCATAAGCTGAAATGTGTAGAAAATATCTGTACTTTCCATCAGTTGCAAAGCCAATCTCTCACGCTGAATTATTTGTTTAATGTTCCTTCAACTTTTCAGCCACAGATGCTGTGCATCTTCCGACAATATTTAATGACCAAGGAGTCCCTTTGAATGTGCCACTGGGTCATGTTCAGATATTTCTTTAGCCATTATCACAGTAGCAAGAGGAGCAAGTTTCTGACCAATGGATTACAGCTTCTCACTTTCACTCTTAAGAAACAAATTCAAAATTATCAAATTTCACCAAAATGTGTAAAGGGCTGGATTGAGTATATCATGACTTGAACCAGTTGGAAAAAAATTCTTAATGTCTTGCTAATTGCAATGGCTTCACACCCTCTTCAGGTGTGTCAAGACCCAAGGAGAGACTCATCATTAACCACAGTGGATGAAAAGACCATATTTCAAAGAGTTTTCTCAATAATTTTTTAAGTCTTTTGACCAATTCTGTGACTGATGTGATTCGCCTGCCATTATTTTTATCCAGGCATTCGCTGAAAGAGCAGCGAGCACTAGGACTTGCCACGAAGTAGCCTCCTAGCCATTTTCCTGCCGTTCCCTTGGATTTGCCTCATTAATATGATCTTCAGCTTGCAGTTCCTTCAGGGAATCATTTAAAATCACTTGTCCATTCGGTGAGGATTAGTTAAATTGAAATGAGGTATCATGAGCTGTAAATCCATTTAACAGGCACACAGACACAAATCAGCTAACTGCTTATAGGAGTCATACCAGTTTCCATTTTGGGAAGATTCTCCTCGCACTGAAGGGTTCCTTGGAATAAAGAGTGCTTCTCTGCACTTCACCATGGCAGTTTCCAATGTCAGAGCTCTAAGATCTTCCGGAAAGCATCTTGCCAACCTCTTCGTCTGTCAGGTGAGGAGCTGGAGGCCCCCTCTAGAGGAAGAGGGGAGGCCAGGTAGATTGACGGGTTTGTAAGCAGGACCTGGTCATAGGACACATAGGTTCAAATCTCAGCCTCTGCCACTTCCTCTCTGTGTACCCTGGAGCAAATCATCTTACCTCTCTAAGCCTGCTTCATCAACTGTATACCTAAACATGGTGAAGGTTACTGTATGTAAATTATATCTCCATAAACCTGGTTTTAAAAGGAAGAGAGGGAGGGAGGGAAGAAGGCAGGCAGGCAAGCCTCAATGCTGAGACCTGAAATTAAATAGAGATTCTCAAATGAGCCTAGAGGCTTCCAGGGAGTAACATTTTTGTCTTAATTATCTCTGTGGTCTGGCATGCTTAGCATGGTGCCAGGCACATAGAAGACACGTAAAATTATTACTGATTGTAGTGGATTGAATGGTGGCCACAAAAGATACGTCCATATCCAAATCCCTAGAACCTATGACTATGATCTTATTGGGAAAAGGGTCTTTGCACATGTAAGTTAAGGATCTTGAGTTGAGAAGATCCTAGATTATCCAAGTGGACCCTAAATCCAATGACCAGTGTTCTTGTAAGAAACAAAAGAGAAGATTCAGAACACAGAGGTCATGTGAAGATCATGTGAAGCAGAAGGTCAGAAGCAGAAATTGGAGTGAAACAACCACAAGCCAAGAACTACCATAGCCACAAAAGTTCAGGAAGAGGCAAGGAGAGATTCTCCCCTACGGTCTTTGGAGTGAGTATGACTTGGCCGACACTTTGATTTTGAACTTCTGGTCTCCAAAACTGTAAGAGAATGCATTTCTGTTGTTTTAAGCCACCAAATGTGTGGTAATATTTTACCTCAGAAACTAATATACTGAACTTCTTGGCTTCACATAGTCATGCAGCTTGTTATTACCTAATCCAGTGATTTCCAAACTTAAGTTCTGCATAGCCTTCCATGGCCCCCATGATACATTAATAAGTATGGTACCTATTTTGTATTTGGAGGTACTTTTAAGATTTCTTATAACTAAAATATTCTGCAGCTTAAAAAAAAAACAAATTAAAAAATTTGATCAGTCAACCCCAAATCTTGCCCAACTCTACATGTCAACGCTGAAGATCAGAGAAGTTCCATAACTTGTCCAAGTTCTCTCGGAAGCAAGAGGCAGAGCCATAATCAGCCCTACCATCTTCCTCCTGATGCAGGGTTCTGCCTGGACACCCAAAGAGCCACAATAAACCACTGTCCTTGGGAAAGAAAGAAGAAAACATTAGCAGCACTCCCATTATAGTCAAAGACAATACAATATGCCCTTGAGTATCAGCACTGTCATTCAACATTCAACTAGAGGGTCCAAACACTGTGACAGGTAGCGATAAAGGAAGAAAATGGAAGAGAAAGAATTCAGGTAATGTGCGGGGCCGTGGGGCGGGGGGCTCCCGACTGGCTACAGGAGATTTAAGGAAAACACCTTGCTACACACACCCATCAAGGGAGAACATTCTCCCTCCAGGGTTGGAGCAGTTAGCACAGTCTGTGTCACCTTGGAGTCAGACAAAAGCGAATTCCACCTGCCACCCTATCACTTATATCTGTGCGACCTTGAGCAAAATTAACTTCTCTGAGTCTCAGCATCCTGAGTAAATGGGAATAATCCCTACCTTGCCGGGCGGTTGTAGGACTTACAAGACCAGTGCTCTAACCCCTGAGCTACGGAGCCAGTTGTAGGACTTAAATGAGATGACATAGCCTAGCGAGTCTGACCCAGACTCTGTACCTAGGCTAGCTCTCGCCTCTATGATATTAACTGTAGACTTTGGGCAATTACCTCTCTGTGCCTGAGTATCCTTACTTGTAAAATGAGGATCATGCTACTTGCCTCCAAGGGTCAGTATGAAGGTTAGAATAAGCTAATAGTTATAAAGTATTTAAATAGTGCCTGGCAGGTTCGTGCTATATGAGCATTTGTTAAATTAAAAATCAATATGAAAATGTACCCAAGGAAAGGGTGACAGGGAGGTGGAGGGCTACAGAGGAAGTGGGAGGTCCAGGGTCTGTCCTGGCCCAGAGACGACATAGATAGATTCTCTGGCTCCATTCCAAACTGGTGTGTTCATGGAGGGACCAAGCGCAGCACCCCTGCTGGACACAGGGGGCCAACCATGTATAGGGGTGGCTGTTATTATCAAGCCTGGGGCGGGCAAAGTGAGGGTGTGCTCATGGCCCGAGGAAGCGTCCTCCTCCTGTTTCCCACCTTGGCTTCTCCAGAGGAAGGGGCCTCTTTGAGAGCTGGGTAGAGAGCTTTCTGTCCTGGGCTGTTGAAGGACCCAGTCCAGCGCAATGGAGAAGGACCCACCCTCTGGGAAGACCTCTCGGGCTGGTCAGAGAGTGGGAGCAGAGTTCCCAAAATTCCGCAAGGCTGCCTAGCTCCCACCCAGAGTCTGGCACCATCTGCCCAGGGGCCCTTCCAAGAGGCCAAACGCCCCTCAACCTGCCATGCCTCCTCTTTCGGGTGCTCAGATGGGAGTTCAAAGGGGAAAGATTTCACTTCCAAAGGAGGGGCTGTGAGGGTTTGATGAGAGGCTCCTCTCTCCAGGCTCTCTGTTTCCCTTTCAAGGGGTGAGTCGCACTGCTGGAAAGTGACAAACTCGGCTAACTAAGATAATAGGAAGGAGACTCATGACTCAGCTGACATGGAAACCCACCCAGCAGGGCTCAGAGGCCCCACACGGGCAGGAGGCTGCTTTCGGAAAAGGAGGACAGTTGTAAATAAGGGATCCACTCAAGATACTTCTTTTCTCATCCTGGTTGCAGACAGCGTTCCCTACCCCTGCCCCCCGCAGTGTTTTTTTTCCACCAGGAGCCCTGAGTCTGGCAGGCATTGGCATTACTCACAGGGGAGGGAATCAAGGGCCAGGGGAGGAATGCGTGTATGCAAACCTTCCCTTGACAGTCGTGGAAAACAGTAGTGCCCTCCCCATTACAGGGGCCGGCTCTGCCCAGAGGACTGATCTACGCCTCACTTTCTCTCCCAAAGCCTCCACCAAAATGAATTTGGACACTGAGGTATTTGTGTGTACAATAACAGGATGCCTGGGATTTATTTTAAAACTTCCGCTCCCCACTCTAAAATTGTTGGCAGGTGATAGGTGAAAGGAGATTGGCCAAACTAGCCTTTAACCTCCTAGAACAAGCAGAGCTTGCTGGGAAAGTTTGAACACCTCCCTTCCCTACCATATCCTCTGATAAAGGAGGGCATTGGTTCCAGGGCTCTCCCAGGCTTTCCCAGCTCTGCTTCCCGATGAGCTGATGATCTCTATGCATTCCAACCTCTCACCACCCGCTGAGAACCTCAGGCCTGTGTTTTTGTAGCAAGCTTTCGCAGAATGTAGAGGGCAATGGTTTAAGCAAGGATTCTGGAACCCCCATGCCTGGTTTTGAATCCTGGGTGGACCACACACTAATTATGGGACTTTGGACAACTCATGTAACGTCTCTAGGCATCAATCTGCTGATCTGAAAAATGGGGATAATAATATCCACCTCATGGAGTTATTATAAGAAATCAAGGAGTTTATATTCATAAAACACTTAAAAACAGTGTGTGCCATATGGTGTTACAGAAATCACGTTAAATAAAGAAAAGGAAAGATTTCAGAAGCCGCCTGCTTTTCTATGTCAGACTGGCCAACTTTGTCTCCAAAGTGCCAGATAGTAAATGTTTTTGGCTTCACTGTCATATGGCTTTGTCACATCCAGACTGAGGGAACTTGAAGCTGATCCCCTCCTCCCTATCTCTCTGCCTTATAGCAGCTGTCCCCAAGGCTCCATGTCCCAGATGGTGGTACCGCAAAATGCAAGAGAACTCGTAATTTGCAGGGCACGTTGGCAGAGCGAGAGGTAAACTATTAAGCCACGGCAACCTGCGTGGCTTCTTTAGGGACCCAGCACGGCCTGGCCTAGCCTGACCCACGGTAAGCAGCCCTGGGCGGCCGTGACAAGGCACCAGCTGCTCTCTCCCGAGTCCACCCCGAGTTATGCAAACTGCCCTCGTTCTGTTTCCTTCCGCTGTCATACACCATTTCAAATCCCTCTACGGAGCCGGCTGCCATCTTCGAACACCTTCCAGTCCATGCACCGCCTTCTCTAAGCCCACACACAGGACTGACCGTGATTCCCAGATGGAACGGACTTTCAGCAGAACAGGACCACCTGCGGAAGGAAGTACGCCCTCGGTCGTGGGGAGAGGGAGGTCAGCTCATACTGCTGATACAGACGGCGTTTCCCGTGACTCGAAATCCTTGAGTGTATGTCACCATGCTTGTGCTGAACCCACCTTCTTGTACAATTTCTGTATAATTGGCTTTTCATGGGGACCAAGAAGCCCTGTTACATTTCCTCCTTAGGCTGCCATGCCCCTGGACGCGGTCACCCAGCCGAGGAGAACAGGACAACCCGGGGGGGAGCAGTCGGAAAGCATGGCAAATATCCACAGTTCTGTGTCTCTTGCAGATCACAGTCCCACGTTCTTGGAGGGATTCTGAGAAATTTCAGTTCAGGGGGAGCTGTGGTTATGGGAACTGTTCTTTCCAAGCCAAAAATCAGGATACAGATTTTTTAAAAAAAATATTATGCTGCTTCTGTGCGGGGCACCTGGGGGGTTCTTTGAGGAATTAGGGGAATACTGGCAGTCCTTTGAATCACAAGGAAAGCACTCTTGGCCCCTGGGGTTCCCAAGGCAATCTGGAGAGGGCAGTTATAACAGATCCTGTTGTCCAGGGCCTCAGAGAAGGGAGGGCTCCTAACTGCCACCATGAGGGCTGTAGGGGGAGTGAAGGACCCAACCTGTTGGGTGCTATCCAGGTAGGGAGCAAAGAAATTGGACTTGGGGGCCAAGCAAGCCTGCATTCAAATCTTGGTTCGACCTTTAGCTACCATGTGAACCTCAGGCGTGTCCCTAAACTTCATCTGAATTCCATTGGAATGGTGGCGCCTTCTTTGAAGACTTGGTGTGAGGATTACATGGTGAAGCTCTACAAACTCCAGGCTCTTGGGAGGTG